AGTTTTTAGCATAACGGTCTGTTGAATTTTGTCAAAGGCCTTCTCTGCATTTATTGAGATAATCACGTGGTTTTTGTCTTTGGTTCTGTTTATGTGTTGAATTACGTTTATAGGTTTGTGTATGTTGAACCAGCCTTGCATCCCCAGGATGAAGCCTACTTAATCGTGACGGATAAGCTTTTTGTTGTGCGGTTGGATTCAGTTTGCCAGTATTTTATTGAAGATTTTTGCATCAATGTTGATCACGGATATTAGCCTGTAGTTTTCTTTTTTAGTTGTGTCTCTGCCAGATTTTGGTATCAGGATGATGTTGGTCTTATAGAAAGAGTTAGGGAGGATTTCCTCTTTTTGTATTGTTTGGAATAGTTTCAACAGGAATGATACCAGCTCCTCTTCGTATGTCTGGTAGAATTCACCTGTGAACTCGCCTGGACCTGGTCTTTTTTTGGTTGGTAGGCTATTAATTGCTGCCTTGACTTCAGACCTTGTTATTGGTCTATTCAGGGTTTCAGCTTCTTTTCGGCTTAGTCTTGGGAGTGTGCACCTGTCCAGAAATTTATCCATTTCTTCCAGATTTACCGATTTATGTGCATAGAGTTGTTTGTAGTAATCTCTGATGGTAGTTTGTATTTCCGAGGAATCGGTGGTGATCTCCCCTTTATCGTTTTTTATTGCATCTATTTGATTCTTCTCTCTTTTCTTTTTTATTAGTCTAGCGAGCGCTCTATTTTGTTGATCTTTTCTAAAAACCAGCTCCTGGATTTATTGATTTTTTGAAGGTTTTTTTGTGTCTCTGTCTCCTTCAGTTCTGCTCTCATCTTAGTTATTCCTTGTCTTCTGCTTGCTTTTGAGTTTTTTTGATCTTGCTCCTCTAGCTCTTTCAATTTTGATGATAGGGTGTCGATTTTACATCTTTTCTTGTTTCTCATGTGGGCATTTATTGCTATAAATTTCCCTCTAGACACTGCTTTAAATGTGTCCCATAGGATCTGGTACGTAGGGTCTTCATTCTCACTGGTTTCGAAGAAAACAGTTTTATTTCTGCCTTCATTTCATTGTTTATCCATTTGTCATTCAGGAGCAAGTTGTTCAGTTTATATGTGATTATGCAGTTTTGAGTGCTTTTCTTAATCCTGAGTTCTAATTTGATTGCACTGTGGTCTGAGAGACTGTTTGTCATGATTGCCATTCTTTTGCGTTTGCTGAGGAGTGATTTACTTCCAATGATGTGGTCAATTTTGGAGTAAGTGCAGTGTGGTGCTGAGAAGAGTGTATATTCTGTGGATTTGGGGTAGAGTGTCCTGTAAATGTCTATTAGGTCTGCTTGGTCCACATCTGTGTTTAAGTCCTGGATATCCTTGTTGAGTTTCTGTCTTGTGGATCTGTCCAGTGCTGTTCAGTGGAGTGTTAAAGTCTCCTACTATTATTGTGTGGGAGTCTAGGTCTCTTTGTAGGTTGTTAAGAACTTGCTTCATGTATCTGGGTGCTCCTGCTTTTGGTGCATATATATTTAGGATAGTTAGCTCTTCTTGTTGTATTGATCCTTTTACCATTATGTAATGCCCCTTGTTTGTCTCTTTTGATCTTTGTTGGTTTAAAGTCTGTTTTATCAGAGGCTAGGATTGCTACCCCTGCTTTTTTTGTTTTGTTTTGTTTTGTTTGCTCTCCTTTTGCTTGGTAAATCTTCTTCCATCCCTTTATTTTGAGCCTCTGTGAGTCTTTGCATGTGAGATGGGTCTCATGAATACAGCACACTGATGGGTCTTGACATTTTATCCAGTTTGCCAGTCTGTGTCTTTTGATTGGGGCGTTTAGGCCATTTACATTCAACATTAATATCCTCATGTTTAAATTTGATCCTGCCATTTTGTTACTGGCTGGTTGTTTTGCCCGTTAGTTGACGTGTCTTCTTCATTGTTTTGTTCTTTACCATTGGGTACGTTTTTGCGGTGGCTAGGACTGCTTGTTCCGTTCCCTGTTTAGTATTTCCTTCAGAAGCTCTTGTAAGGCAGGTCTTGTAGCGACGGAATCTCTCAGCAATTGCTTGCCCGTAAAGGATTTTACTTTTCCTTCACTTAGGAAGCTTAGTTTGGCTGGATGTGAAATTCTGAGTTGAAAGTTCTCTTAAGAATGTTGAATATTGGCCCCCACTCCCTTCTAGCTGGCAAGGTTTCTGCCGAGAGATCCGCTGTGAGTCTGATGGTCTTTCCTTTGTGGGTGACTCTACCTTTCTCTCTGGCTACCCTTAGGATTTTTTCCTTCATTTCAACCCTGGTGAATCTGACAATTATGTGCCTTGGGGTTGCTCTTCTTGAGGAATATCTTTGTGGTGTTCTCTGTATTTCCTGGATTTGA